GTTATGCCAGCGAGGGGAGATTATGGAAGTAGACCACTCAGTCTATTAACCTGATGTAAATCACCATAAATACAAGATTCAAGCTTGACTTCCAACAGAAGATGTGTTGATTCACCATCACTTTGCACAAGAAGCTCTTGCAAGATCTGCCCAAAATCTGAACCTGCAAAGTGACCAGTTCATGGTTGAGCCCCTGATGATTACTACAGTATGTTGAATTAGTTGTATATAAAGTTGTAAATATCCTCTGTGTCATATCCATACAATCCTGACCTCCACTCCAGGCTCCCGGAACTCCGAAACCAACTTTGGAGCCCTACTTCCCTTCTGTCACCTTCTCCTTGCCGACTCCCAAGAGGTTATCCCACCTCCAGCTCCAACACCACCTTTGGTCCGACTCTGGAACATTCCAGGTCTGACCTCAACCTTGACACCTCCCAGACGAACATGCAACACCTATGCTCCCGACTCCGGACCTCCGCTCCAGAATCCTGTTTGCATCTCCGTTTCCAGAACCTCCAGTCTTAGCTCCGACCTTGGACTTTGACCCCACCTCCGCTTATACCCATTGTATTGGTTAGCTCATTATGTTTGCCAATATCCCAGAGTTTAACTTCCGAGTTCAGACTTTCCAGACTTACGTCGGACCTTGCAACTATTGCATTGCTCCATTCAATTCCACTATTCTCCCTCATTCCTATTTGGGCTGCTGCTTCCTTTCTATTCAGTCCACTAGCCATTCCCCACTCCCTTCCTCCTTCCTTCCTCCTTGGGCCTTGGCCCTTCACTCCTCCTTTGGGAAATACCATTGAGTCAAACCCTTGACCCTCGGTGTTGTTCCTCCTTCCAGCTCCCTTTGTCTGCTTTCGGAGTACCCTTGCTCCTTTTGATTCCGGACCCCTCCTTATATACAATGTGGTAACTTGTAACCTCAGTCCGAAATCGACTTGATTTCCCCCCAAGAGACTTTCCTTTGCTAGATCCAAAATTAGGGACCCCTAGGACAACCAGCAATGGCACAGCGCTCCACATGAGTCGCTGAGGCCAAGGTCCTTCCATCCTAAGTCTCTGATTCCACTCCGGAGTCATCTGAATCCACACGATCTAACACTCTGTTTCAACCCCTCATACAGCTTGTGAAAATTGTGTCCAACTTCTGAAATAGATTCCGGAATGCTGCTGTTCAAGCTGTTAATGATCACCACTTAGTATGATTTTGCACCAATGCCAATATGGCTAACTGACTTTTTAGATACAGAAAGACAGTCCATTTGAAAACCTGATCATTTTGACTGTGCTGAAGGTGTTCTTCACCTTCAAACAGCAGTTTATTTCTCATCGGTTGGGGGAGACTTGTCTTGATGATTTCAAGAACCTCAATGAACATCACAAGCTTATTGCCCTTGCCCTATCAGTGGTACTTCATCCATTTACTCATAACACCAGTTTGCTAATATGCACTTTGTTTAGATTCACTGTGCACTTGAGAGTGTTATTAATCCAGTTTCATCAAAAAGACAAGATGATGTAAGCATATTTGCTGTGCCATGTTTTGGTCTGTAGTGTACATTGCCAACACTCACTAACCTAACTACTGACTCATATTCCATCAACCTCTATGGGCAAGAACTCAAAAGGGATCATATGTATGAGGAGAGGGATGGATCTATTATAGACATGGAAGAACAACCATGCAGCAACACTACTCCATGGAGCGAGTCTGAGTAGCTGCCAGTTATATAAAAATCGATTTTTCTTCCTTTAATTACATGAGTTGCAAGAGTCAAGAACACTGAGAATCCTGGAGTCTGAGAGCCAGCGCTGCACCGTTAGAAGGAGAGGAGCCGCAGAGCTCAAGAGGCCCAAGAGAGCGTGCCTCCTGGTTCTTTGAGAGGGGGTAAGGACCTTTTGGGCTCCCCAAGCTCCGTGGGAATATCTCGGCTCCAGGAGGTCCCTCCGAGTTTCCTGATGCAAGAAGAGGAGATCTATCGATTTATCAGTGTGTTGTCGAGTGAAGGTGTCTATGTAAGTAATTTCTATTCTTTTGCCTCGGTGGTCTCACTCAAGAACATGTCCAGCAATCAGTCCAGCATACGGATTTGTTCCGGCATGTCTCTTGCATTCCAAATCGTTGAAAGCGCCGTGAGTGACGCACGCATCATTCGATGCGTTCAGCCCCTGATATGACCGTATGTTGCACTGTAGATAGGCTTTTGATCACTGGTTTGGGCTCGGCGTCCTATCCATTACAATAGGGGCCATATCCGGTGAGCACAAAATCCGTCGTTCACGTCTTGTGAAAATCGCTTCTGATCCGTGCAGCACCCTGTTTCCTTTTCACATCACTCAAGGCCATCACGCACGAACACTCATTTGTCCCTGTCGGTTATCGTTGGGCTTTTGACAGGCCTCTCGCTGGTAAGGGCACTTGGGTCAAACCTTCTGCCTGTATCGACACCTCTCACAACACACCTGCATTCGCCCTCAATCGCCCTACAGATATTTCAGAAGAATCCCCTCGTTGCAGCTAACTGAAGACCACCGGAGGCACTTAGTGTGTCGCTAGTGCGTCACGGTTAAAGCACACTCTTCAGCCAATCGAGCCTCCCGGACATACGTCGTTTGTGTGGAACGGTGATTGCTTTCGACATCCCGTGCAGCTTTTGTAGAGATATCCGACTAAGGAGGGCTGGAGGCTGCACCCTTGCACTGCTAGCGTCTCGTTGTCGTTTCCCTTGTCCAGGCAACACGCTGCAAAGGACGATCTCCCACTCCGACCCTGTACGACACCCTTCACAGGCATAACCAGTACGAGCCGCCTCATCCCCACATTTCCTCTGAATGGCGCATTACGCGATACACATACCTACCTACCTACCCTGCTCCTCACTCGCACACAAAGACTTAGATCTTGCTCTCTGTTGTGGGACATCCCCAGAATAGTAATAAAAGCTCTGTGTATCATCTACTGCCATCGAACGGGCGTAAATGGCCTCAACCTGCGGAATTGTTGGCAGTTATCGCAACCCTCTGCATCCCATTTTCCACGCTACCCTTTATCCAATCCGGATTAGTGGGATCACATTCACATTGGGTCTGAGTAACTGTGAACTCCTCGGTCAGTGCTGGTTAATCCCAGACGGTGCAATCGGACAGAACCTGACCCGACGTGTACCCCCGCCACTGCCTACCACTCCATGCCCAATACCCACATAGAAGAACCGCTTTTGAAGCTTCAGCACCCTGGCTTTATTTCCCACTGCAACATGGACAAGCAATCGCTCTGGCTCACCTCGTTTGGTGTCCACCCTTATTGGTGTGTCCTGCAGCCACATCCACATGGCTGTTCAGCTGAGCGCGCATTTCCTTTACAGATCAATTGACAGCGCGACCCGCGCATTCTTGTTGAAGGGCCTGCCCTGTTCTTTGCTTTGACCTGAACGCGTTAGTTTTCCAAAGCAACTACACCATGCCGAGGAGATACAAACCTGTAAAGGCTCCTGTTTCTACTTCACCTGTAAAAAGATATCGTCCATATAATTATAATAAACCTAAAAAACATGGCGATCTCCTTAACCCCCAACCTGCACGTTATCCTGAATTCTCAATGTCCAATGTCCATGCCTCAGCTCGTGATAACACCGCCCCCCAGCCATCACGACGGGTGGAGATAGCAACCTCCGGTGGCTCTGTGGTGACCCAACGCTGGGGACCAGGAATCCAGTCCACCCATCGGTGGCAGGTCCCAAATCGCCATGATCATGTGGGGAGTGCGATGCTGGCGTGCACTGACAACATCTCGACTCCCCCCTCACTGCAGGCTCCAAAAATGGAGTCACTCATATGGGAAGAATCTCCCCACTCTTGGTTGGAAAATGTTGCAGAAGCCACTATCCCAGGCTCAGACACCCCTTCATCCCCTTCGCCGCTGCCATCAGCTCCCAAAAAACGAAACAAGAGAGCATCACGGAACCCACAAAAGCAGGCAGCTTGGCTTCATTGGTGCGAGAACGTGATATATAAAGCAGTGGGAATCTACTTAGATTTGGAGGCGAAGAAGGCGGGCCGTATATCTCTTGGTACCCCTGGTGAGACGTTGTTTGATGAAAATGATGCCTGTGCACACCGATAGTGTCGCTCTGCTCTTGTTGCAACACATACCTCCGGTTTCATTCACTCATGATGATCACATCCTCAAGTACGTTGGTATCCTGGCTTCTCTAATAGTGGTTTAATGACCTCACTCCAGGTGCCATGCAGCGTACATTTGAATACTGCAAATGTCCCTCCAATACCCTCCCGCTTAGCACCATCCAGTCCGGCTACTTTCCCGGGTCACCCGTGATACCTCAGGTTGCCTTCCATTTCGATGTCCTTTCCCTATACCTAGCTTTGAATGTGAGCTCATCTACTCCGATTGCCTCCTTCCATGCCGCTTTGTTTGGCATATTGTGGGAGAACGGTTATGGATTCCCTGTCAATGTAAGATTCATTATTTGTGTGGCATTGACATGTACATAATCACACTTACATATAGGAACCCTTTCTAAGCCCATTTAGCGAAGCGGTTACATGGTTTAAGGCCCTGCGGGATGTCGTAGAGGTTGAAACAGAAAGAGAGTTTCTCCTACCCACAGGCCCTGTGGAGCTCGATGCACCGCTATGTCTTGACGCACCGCATAAATCTGTAGGGCCTGACCATGATGGATCTGCTCATGATGGCGATCCAATGATCGTACCTCATGGCATGATATCTAGTGATCCTGACATGCCAGCCTCCATGAATCCTCAATTGTTGACCTGTGAGCGAACAAAGCTACTTTGCAACGCCTCTGGCAACAGTGCCAGCCCATACCTCCACATGAAATGCCCACAGTGTTTTGGGGGGTCAGTGTGGGGTAGTCCTGCCAATGAGTTGGTCCTCACATCTATTTCAAGAACGGGTATGCTAATTTCCTCCCCAGATATCCTGATGTCATTGTCGCTATTACATGTTTGTTGGAGGAGAGATGGTTCTTCCCTGGAACGAAACCTGCACATTCCTGACCCAGGCTGAAATAGATGAAGCTGCCCACCATGTCTCTGAGGCACGAGCTGCATCTAGAGGTTCTTTGGAATCTTGTCCTTCATCTCTTGTACCGGATGGCGCCATTGATGAATGCAAAGAATCCCACTGAGCCACAAAACATGAAGGGAAGTCAGCCTCCAAGACGGATACCTTCCGTTCAAAGGGCCTGATGGCAACTGTGTGCCGTCATGATATTCCCCTCTTCCTATGTGACATGTGCACTCTGGGCGAATGGCAACACTTCTCAGTTGCCATGCTCATTGCACTCAGCTGCCAACTCCCCTCAAATGCCACCACTGGACTGATGTATGACGTTGGGTGCATTCTTGATCAATCCGTGGCCAAGGTATGACTTCGCACACTATGCAGATACAACCTCTGATGTTTGAGTAAAGTATAATCTTATCCCTGAAATTGCCCCCAGATTAAGCATCGCAGTTTCAGTCTTCCATGCTTATGCCCATCAATTCTGTTGTCAAATCGCGTTCCACCCATGGAAACACAACGGGTTTGGGAAGTCAAACGGGTTTGGGAATGAGCGGTTATGGTCCTCAATGGTTGACATGATAGCACCTGAACACATGATGAGTGTGAGTCCCAACATGCCCTATACCGTTCGCTCCACAAGCCCGGTCTGATGCAATGTTGCTCCGGAAATATAGGCGGCAAAACGGATTGCAACTATTGACAGCAAAATCAAGCTAATTGCATCCCGTGGTCAAGACCATCTCGCTTCGTTGGCAAGGTCTAAAATGGCCACCATTCTTCATGAGGAGGCACTTTCGACTGAACTTCTCCAAGATTTGAAGAATAGTGGATTCACGACTCGTTTTCTTCAATCCCAGTGGGAAGAGCAAAAGTCTTTGCAGCTCTCCATTCGGGCTTGTATGCACATTTCCAATCCCACATTCGGTGTTGGATTATGCTGTTATGTCCTAGACAATGACCAAGCCGGAATGAAAAAGTTCGCAAAACTTTTGGAAGCTGAACGGTCGGCTCAGGCACATTCGGATGCATTGGAAGCCATAAAGAAGGAGCTGGATCATATTGTCCTGATACGAACAATGGCCGATAGTTCTACCGATCTCAAGGAGCATTTCAAAGCTGCTCAGCATCTGCAGGAGTTACATGATGAATCCCAAAAATGCTTGCACGATTTGACTGCCCAAATCGGTCTGTCCGATCTGAAACTTCCGCAAAATCCATCTGGCCCAGAAAGGGACTACATCGAGAAATATATTCTAGCCCGGTTCCGCAAACATTCTATACTTATCCGCTTAGCCAAGTACCAGGATGAGATGAACCCTGTTGAAAGCTCCCAATGGCGTGGAGGGCGGCTAGTTTCAAAAGTCGGTAAGCCTTCTCCCGCTTGAGGTGAATGATGCTGTAGTTAAGAGCCTGTCCGGTACTTTAAGGATACTCGAGGATGGTCTCAGTGTTTAGTAGTGCAAATGACCACACCCAAACCATTTCTGCCCATATTGCACAATATAACGAGCTTGTCAACAGCCTCGAACATTCCATCAGACCATCCTGGTTCCCAGACTCTCAAGTGCATGCGAAAATGAATGTCAAAGAGGTGCTCAATATGGACCCCAGTGATGAACGATGGACTAAGATGTGGGAGAGCCTGTGGAACTCCAACTGGTCCCTGGATGAGAAACCACCGGCCTTCATCGTCAATCAGCAGCAGCGATGCTATCTGCTCGTATTGAGGAAGAAAAGTGCAGGCTTGCCTGAGAAGAACTTAATGCATGTACCTGGATCGTCCAATTGGTGGACTCGTTGATTTGAATCATGGACAATATCCATCGTATGTCACATAAGTTCCACTGATTACCTGTATTGCTAATCTTCTTTTTCGATCCCAGCCCTATTCAACCACTGATTGCAACTACGCTTAAGGTTGTCCCTCAAATGCCGTGATACGATCATAAACAGTCCATTTCCCAACATCAATCTATGGCGTGCATCAGCACACTATCTACTCACAAACTTAGAGCGTCCCGATGCCAATGCTATGCCAAGTACCACTGAATATTCTTCCTTCCGCCTTCTCCCACCATCTTCCACCACTCTACCCTCAGAAAGTAATGACATTGGCCCTGAAGACGATGCTGAGGCCAGAAACGAGCTAAGTGCCCTTAATGGGCTTATTAGGATGAGTCCTGAGCCGGACATAGATGCTGATCATGCTGACCCCGACCTGCCTACCGACGCAGCTAGTGGCCTGGGAAATGCTCTCGACCCTGAGGTGGCCCCAAGCCATGTAGATGATGCGCTAGAAGCAGGGCCAGATGGCGCAATTGACCTTGCAGGGAATGTCGAAACATTCAGCGAGCCTCTTGCCAATTTGGCTCCACCTCCACGGCTATTTGGCATAATCAATCAGGAGATGCAAATAATTCCAGCCATAATGAGAACATCGAAGAGATGTTCTGGAATCAAACCCTCGTCCTCAGAGCCTTCCCCCAATTTCAACAATCTTTGATGCTATACACTCGCCCAGCAAATCCTCTCAGCAACAAAAGCCAACGAAAATTTGGAAGGAAATAATGGAGTTGTATTTGCCTAAAGAATCAGGAAGAGTGAGAATTCCCCTGGCCTCCCACCACTCATCCCACTGATGCTCCATTAGATGGTGAAACAAGACGGCCAGACAAGATACTACAAACACATCACAATCTTCCCCGATGCACTAGTAACGGCCAATCACCGGCGGCTGATAGATGGCACGATAATTGATGCATACATTGAGATGCTGAAAGACCTCACTGACAAAAACCTGCGGGACCTGCTCAGTACCACCCGACCCCAAGTGATCATGTTTCCTACCCAGTGTGAGGGAATGCGACATCATTTGGCAGTTCGCCTATTGGATGTATGTTGGAGTGCACTCTTCAACACTGTGCTGACCAGTTCCTTAGCGAGCAACAAAAAAGATTCGAACTGATCTTTTGAAGCAACCAGTTGGACAGTCCCATGCTATTCGAGGAAGCGCTGCCACTGGCTTCTTGGTGTTGTGAACTTTGAAGAGCAAGAGCTGCGCTATCTTGACAGCAAACCCATCCCCGAAACCTCCAATATAAACTGCCATGGCCCATGTTGGGTTTTTACAGTGCGTTGCCCGATTCTAGTCCATGCCCCAGTGTTAGTGATACCCTTTCTACAGATACTCCAACAACTGGTTGACGCTGTCTGGTCGTTCACTCACCCTGATGGTCAGCATGGGTTCAACTGGTTCAATTGGACCACGAAAGTAGTCACTGTAAGTATACTATCTTGCTTTGACTCGAATATGACATTCATTAACAGTCCCTAGATGGAGGAACGACAACGGAATGGGTATGATTGTGGCATGTGGGTCATGGCCAATGTTCAAGCTGTGCATGTTGGGCTTGACACCGCACCACTGGACACGAATATTGATAGCTTTCGAGATCAGGTAAAACACCAAATCCTTTCCCTCCCCTCAACAAATCCCTGCTGGCTGCCCACCTGGAAAACCTTGGACCCCCATCTCATTCATGAACTGCGGCAGCAAGCTGCTGAAGTAGCGGCAAGATTTCCTGTCAATTATGCCCGACTTGAGATCGACCCCACGGACGCTCCAATAGTGATGGATAGTGAACAAGAACAAATAGATTTAAGTGACTAGTAGGCATTCCCTGTACACTTGGTTCTGAACTCGTATCTAGTTCCCCCAAATGACATACCCCATTGATCTTAATTTCTTCACGGAAGATTTACATCAGAGACATCAGAGACACAGTGTGTGAGAGTCTACATCCCAGAGAACATCCCAGGTCCATCCCCTGGAACGATGATCACTTGGAGTTCATCACGGAACACGAAGACGACCCGGACTTCCTCTTCGTCTTCTCCGATGGGTCCAAGACAGATGAAGATGGCCAGAGAGTCACAGGCTATGGCGTAGTAGGGTACTCAGCAGGCGATATTGTCTTCGAAGGGAATGGCGCTATAGGAAGCAACATGCAGATGAGCTAACAAAGGAAAGTGCCCACATTAGAACAGACAGGCCAGGTTACCACTCACTCGCATATGTAGAGAGCCTACACAGAGCAGAGATGGAAGAAGCGTGAAAGGCACAATGGTCAATGGCACCCGATCCCCCCAGCTCCGGATTCCACCTAGCGAACCATATCACCCTGACACTCAGACTCACCCTGAGGTTTTAAGTCACTAGACCGAAAAACCTTTAGCAGACTAATCCAGTTTCAGACACACGCACATCAGGGAATACTACCCGCACTTTTAGCTATTAGCGTGATGTTGGGCTATCCTCCAACCAGGCAACATCTGGATCCACATGTTCAAAGCCTCATCTTTCTCATCACTAACTTCGTCGGTATCAAGCAATTTTACCATGTCCCTGGCAAGTCTTCTACATCGGCACCCTTACCACGAAGCTCATCTCCAACGTCCCTAACGATTTTCCAGTGCTGAGCCATGTCCAAGAAGGAGGTGGTACCTTCTTGTTGATGTGCAGTTTAATGATGTCGATCTCCACCAAGCATTTGACATTTTCTTTCAATAGCGCCTCTGAACGAACTGCTGGCAGAATTTTCGAGGTGGCTGTCAGTGTGCATCCGACAGAGTGAAGATGTGCATTTACAGATATTCCAGGGGTCAGCATTCCCGATCCTGGGTCGCTGCTGGTGTCCTATGCATGGAACCCAAGCTCATACTGAGCATAGAGGTGAGTCAAATGCCAAACGGAGATGCAACAGGAAGTTGAGGAAGGGTGGTGGGCCCAGGCAGCGAGATACCAGTTTGCGCGTTTCTTTGTGAAGGAACCACTGTCACTTCCATGGAAGGATAAAGCTGTTCACATTATAGACAAAGGCAGCGCCACACCGCAGAGAAACCATAGAACACGACGATTCAACGAATGGTTGTACCCCGAAGTGCTTCCGGCAGTTGCAACGTGAGGTAGATACTGCATGCCACCTACCCATGATCAGGAGCCTAAATTTGTACCTCAGCATTTACGATGTCCACCATGTGCCTTTCCTTCCCCCCTCCTCCAGCAGTGCATGGAATGAGTCGGTAGTCAACTTCTGCATGTAACAGCCCACGGAATATGTCCACTAAGGTTATTCTTTGCACGAATCCATTGACATTTCCGCTCTGAGCCTCTGAACTTCATCCTCCAACTCCTTGCATCTCGCCGCAAGCCTTAGATAGTCAGTTAAGTCGACCTCACAATATGAACACTCTGAAGCCTCTCTGATGGCAGGCAAATGCTCGAGGGCTGAGAGTGGATCGTCTTCATCAGGTGTCTGTATGTCAGGGCACACACCCTGACTAGCCCGGACCCGGACCCACGTCCGGACCCGCTTCCACCTGCCGTGCTTCCCGCACGCGTGCACGCTCCACACGCCGCATGCTCCGGACCCGGTTCCTATCCCTTCATGTGACTTCCGGGTATCCCCGGAAGTTTTGCTGATATTGTGGCCACTGTGGGAAGATGAGAAGTTAGCTTCCTTCTCATCTCCTTACCCACAGTAGGCAAGTGTACCTTACCTACTGCTTTATCTATTCATCTCCTTACCCACAGTAGGTTGTGCCCTGGATAGGGCTGGTTACACCTCAGGGCTGTGGACCATAGGGGAGG